GAATAAAGTATGACAATAATAGCCCACTAATTAACTTAAGGTTACCTCTTTTATCCCCCAAGAAATTGAGTTATAAATATAGACCCACGAAATATATAATTATAGCAGGAATAGTCCAAAACGCCCCTTTAAAACTTAACCAGAATTCCGACTTCAACTGGGATTACGCAACCTGCGACGGTCCGTCATGCCTGCGACGGTCCGTCATGCAAGTTCGTCAGAGACTCGATTTCCTTAAGGAGTCTGTGACGGCCCGTCGTACCTACGACGTTCCGTCCTGCACTTCCGTCACGACGTTCAGAGAATCGTTCCCTGTACCAAATTCTCAAGAGTTGAAGTGTTTTGAAACGGTGGATCACGACGGTTCATCGTGCCTGTGACGGTCCGTCCTGCAGGTCCGTCACAGAGTTCAGAGAGTCGATTTCAGCACCCAAATTTCAGAATTTCTAAGTGTTTTGGGACGAGATACCCTCGACGGTCCGTCGTGCCCATGACGTTCCGTCGTGGGTTCCGTCGTCTCAGCCTGTTTTTCCAGAAATATAATCTGCTGCTCAAAACGACTAAACAGGTCGTTACAAAAACCTTGATCGTGCAAGAGCTGTATCATTACATGAGAGATCAATAATCAACGTCATGAAAGGTTTTTCAATACCAGCTGGATTACCATGGCATCTGGTGGATGATGTTTATATTTCGATCAATTATGATGGAGATTTTCATTGGGTATTAGCTGTGGTTGAATTGAATAAGAGGTTGATACACGTGTATGACTCTTCTTTGGGAACAAGGAAATGTGTATATTCTGACGAGATAAAAAAATTGTCAAGGATGTTATCTTCTTACCTGATTGACAGTGGTTTCATTGAAAACAATGAGCGGACAAACTGGTCAGTTCTTGATGCATACAAGGACAAACAAACGGGTGTACCTTTAGAGTCACATATTCCTTTCAACATTGAATACGCTGAAGGTATCATGCAACAAGAAGACGATAGCCTGTAAGTATTTTCAATTCTGGTCTACAATATATGTGTAAGCTATTTTACAAATTAATATTACGTATTTTGTTATAGGGACTGCAGGTTATATGTAGCTACATTTGCAGAGTTTTTGAGTGACCAACTTGTTATACCACCAGATAATGACGATCCACCAAAGCCTAAGGGTCAATTCACAACACCAACTGAATATGACATTGTTAACATAGATTAGTAATTAGCTGGGACAGGATGAACAAGTTTTTATGTTTTTTTTTGTTGAAGACAATTATCTTTTGTGTTTTTCTAAAAGCTTATTGGTATTACAATAGTTTGTTAGTTATTAATGTCATGTTTTTTCAAGTTATTGTTTTAGACACAATATTAATGTCATGTTTTTTCAAGTTATTGTTTTAGACACAATTGTTGCTTTATAACATTAAGGTACAAAATTTTTAGTGTTTCAGTGTAATGACAGCTAATTTACAAAATGAAGTATATGGCACTTAAGTTCTAATGTGTATGATACATTATTATTTGAGTTTTAAGTATTTTTCACTTATAAAAATGATGTATATTATACATAAGTTATAATATATGCATGTCCAAATATTGAAGTTATACATTTAGCAACTTGAACTATACGAATGTATATGATACATCATATACATAAACAAACTAATCACAGATTAATATTACAGTGCAAAGCACCTTTAGAATGTAATATATCGAAATTATAGTTCATAAGGCAGTACACACGAAACATGTAGTACACATTTGAACAAGTCAAGTTTTGGGACACTAGATTAACTCATCAGGGAGTATACACGAAAAATATAACATATTTTCAATCATATGAATGTATCTGATACATAATATACATAAATAAACTCATCTTGAATTACTGTTACATTGAAACCTAACATTGTTGAATATAATATATCAAATTTATAACTCATAAGGATGTATACACAAATCATATAGTAAACAATTGAACAAGTCAATTTTTTTGTACACTTGAAGAACTCAAAATACAATATACACGGAACATATAACATCTTTACAATAATATGCATGTATATGATACATCACATACACAAACAAACTCCTATAGCATTACTGTTACATTGAAAACGCACCACTGTTGAATCTATTTATTTATAAAATTTGGAATTTAAATTTGGCACATAATTAAACTGCAAAGTCATATATTTGAACATCAAATTAAGTTGTGTAACCAATACACTTTATTTAGTCCAAATTCTAAAGAAAAAATGGATATAAGTACCATGAACACTAATGTCCTTCTTTAAAACATTCTTTCAATTCTCTTTCGGGAAGAAAGTACAAGTTCTCATGTTATGTCCTTCTTGTCCACACTGCCCACAACAATTATTGTTCACTATTATTTTCTCATCCGCATTTTTCTTTCTTCACTTTCTTGGTCGTCCAGCCAACCTTCTATACTTAGGTGGCCGAACAATTTCATCTAAAACATATTCTGGAACGTTTCAATCCTCCTTATCTGGCATTGGAACCATTACAACCTCGTACGTTTTTTCTAATGCATACGACTTGTAGTAATCAGAGCAATATGGGTGCAAATTGTTAACATTCTTGTGCTTCAAAGCTGCAATTGCGTGTACGCAAGGTACCTCATCATGTTGAAACCTTCCACATGTGCAAGTTTTCCTCTCAAGGCATACAATGTATCTTTTTCTGGCTTCATGAACTGTGAAAATATATTCAAATGATGGAACAACCTAAAAAATGAAGTTAGTGATACATTACGTAATATACAATTTATATATCATTTTCAAAACAACACTTAACATTAAAAATCAGTTTGTATCTGATATATAAAACAGAAATTTAAGGAAATTGATAAATAACTTCATCTTTGAACTTTTAGATGCGTTTACAATCAATATCTCCTCAAATCTTCGGCCCAATGTGTCCTTTGTAAATGATGTTATTGCTCTATTGTTATAGTTCCAACTACCAAATAGAAGTCTAGCTTCCTCCAAGAAGTCTATTATAGTTAACTTACGTGCATCGACAATGCATCCATTGATACACTCAGCGATGTTCGAAGTCATCATTCTACCTCTGTTTATGGTTGAATGAACTCTTGACCACTTCTCATAACCAGCTTCTACAAGGTAATCCTTCACCCTATGATCAACTTTCACAACCTTAGCCATTAATTTATCAAAATCTTCCTTTCTGTACGCTTTTGTCATTGAGTAAAATATATCACTTAGTGTTTTTTTACTCCTTTTGAAGCTTGAACATACATTTTTCCAAAGATGTCATATGCATGCACAATGAGGTACATTTGGGTATACAATGCTTACTCTTTATGATACTTTCATTTCTATCTGATAGAATACACATGTTTTCACGCTCACCAAATGCATTTTTGAAATGTTCGAAGAACCATGTCCATGAACAGTCATTTTTAGTGTCTACAACACCATATGCCAATGGCAATATGCATCCTAATTACAACGAATATCACATTTAACTTCACGATACACAATGTTTACACTAATATATATTAATATAAATATAAAATAAGTTATACATTACATCAGAATTATAACACATACCTGCACCATCGAGTGTGCTTGCTGATACAAAAGTATCCTTGTATGCCCCGCCAAGATGTGCAGCGTCAACTACAACTACAGCCTGCAGTAGTCAAACCCTCTTATCAACGGTCTTACTGCTATGAACAGATACATGAATTTATTATCTTCCGTCTTTTGCATCCTTATATATGAATTTGGATACACTTTATTTAGCATCCATATGTATCTCGGCATCTGTTTATATCCTTCGGATGGCTTACCCTTGAGCATTTCTAGTGCACGTTCTCTAGCACGCCATGCTTGTTGGTACGATACCTCAACCCCATACAATTCTCTAATATCTTCAATTACATCTCGAAGTGTATGGATTCTTTTATGATTTACCAATTTAGGGGCAGTCACACCACTAATAAATCCAATTGTTGCTTGTACTTTTGTTGGTATCCTATCCCGCATCGGACATGTATGTTCACTGTTGAAATATCTCACTTTGAATACATCAGATTTTTTTCTGCAAGATTATTTTAAGGTCCATCCACATTGGTCGCTGAAGCAAACCAACACATAGCTGTCCAAAATTATTTACTGGTTTAATTCATATAAGAAAAGCAATGCTATGAATATCACAACAAGATATAGATTGCTTATAATTATGTATCAGATACACTATAAATAAAAATATAATAGAGAAAAACAATCAGATCATAGAGTAAGCATTCAAATAGCTTTTCTTATCCGATATTTTCATTCGAAAATTGAAGTTGTTCTTTATTTTATATTTAGTCATTACAGCAACAAGTGTTCCTTTGTCTTTATACAACTGCCTAGTCTTCACTTCAGTACTATTGGAATCAGTTATGTAATTCGTAGCATTTAATTCTGGAATATAATCAATGTCACAAATTCTCGACTCGATCAGAGCAAGAGCTTCAGTATCTCTTTCGGTACCTTCCACGCATACGACTTCACCTGATGAACAATAAAAATTACGTATCTCCCCAACAATTTTATCAGTTGTATCAATACAAAGCGAATACATGCCGATTCCAGATGCATTCATTTTTACTTCGAAATAAAGTTTCACACCCATGGCATTTTTTATTTTCAATGGACATGAGCTTCCCTCGACAATGTATCGTATTTCAATATCCTTTATAACAGTGTAGATCTCAAGCTCTGATAAAATCAACGTTTTCAGATTCACAAATGAAATGGAATGGCCAACAACAATTCCATCAACTTTGTAACCTTCATATATAACATCGCTTACCCAAATTCCAGAATGCCGCAACAGAATTGAGATATTCATCTTCAAAATTTTTTTTTTTGAATTCTTAGTATTCAGATCAACTTTTACAAGAATAATTTTGAATTATGAAGCTAATCTGATGTAAAATTTGAATTTACTAATGAGTTACACAAGCTGTAGAGCAATAATTACGTGATTTCAGTTAATAATAACAGAAATCACGGTAATTAATCCTAATTAATCGCAGCAGATGTCCAATATGATGTATCAGGACTTATGTATCCCGTGCCAATTGGATGTATCCCGCTTCCTTGAATTTTAAGGGATTTTTAGTAATTTCAATTCTAAAAGGGATAAAAGGTCATTTTGTATTTATAATATGTGGTTCCTATAATTTTTACTAAAATGTATACGCCAGTTTTTCTAGGCCCAAAGCCTTAACAATATCCAGAAGTCATTTTGGTGAAATTGGGCTCAAATTCATTATGTGGACAAATTTTAGATTTAGGACATGTGAAAGACTTGGAACTTTGGGCCTTTCAACTCTGATTTACTCTTTATTTATTATTATAGCTACTAACTAAATAAAGAGTAACAGTGTATCGTATTTCAATATCCTTTGTAACAGTGTCGATCTCAAGCTCTGATAAAATCAACATTTTCAGATTCACAAATGGAATGGAATGGCTAACAACAATTCTATCAACTTTGTAACCTTCATATATAACATCGCTTACCCAAATTCCAGAATGCCGCAGCAGAATTGAGATATTCATCTTCAAAACTTTTTTTTTTTGAATTCTTAGTATTAAGATCAACTTTTACAAGAATAATTTTGAATTATGAAGCTAATCTTATGTAAAATTTGAATTTACTAATCAGTTACACAAGTTGTAGAGCAATAATTACGTGATTTCAGTTAATAATAACAGGAATCACGGTAATTAATCCTAATTAATCGCAGCAATGTCCAATATGATGTATCAGGACTTATGTATCCCGTGCCAATTGGATGTATCCCGCTTCCTTGAATTTTAAGGAATTTTTAGTAATTTCAATTCTAAAAGGGATAAAAGGTCATTTTGTATTTATAATATGTGGTTCCTATAATTTTTTCTAAAATGTATACACCAGTTTTTCTAGGCCCAAAGCCTTAACAATATCCAGCAGCCATTTTGGTGAAATTGGGCTCAAATTCATTATGTGGAGAAATTTTAGATTTAGGACATGTGAAAGACTTGGAACTTTGGGCCTTTCAACTCTGATTTACTCTTTATTTATTATTATAGCTACTTACTTATTGTTTAATTTTTTGTTTTAATTTAATTAATTCCCAAGGATAGTCATTACTCATTTTTGAAAATTTAAAATGAATTGTTGATATGTAATTCTTAAATTAACCTTTTCAAACTCTTTATGTTTGAACTTGGAGACTGGACATCACCTTGATCTATTTCAAACTCTTTATGTTCCCTTAGTTTCTAGAAATTTGATTTCTCTTTCAAGACTTATGTTTCTGGATTTGATTTTAAGTTTGGACATGGTTGTTTCTTATATAAGAATACTATTTTATGGTTCTGGTGTTCTTATCGACGATTTATATAGATTGGAACTCGATAATAATTAGATGTAGTCCACTAATTGAAAGTTCTAGTTATTTGTGACATAAACATTTGGGTCATGTATCCAAAGAACGATTAAAAAGATTAGTAAAGAATGAAGTTTTTGCAAATTTTCAGTTTGCTAATTTTGATATATGTTAGGATTGCATTAAAGGAAAGCAAACCAAATATACCAAGAAAGATGTCACAATGAGCAATCAACTTCTTGAAATAATACACACTAATATTTGTGGACCATTTGATGTTTCATCTTTAGGTGGAGAAAAATATTTTATCATCTTTATCAATGATTTTTCACATTATGAATTTATCTATTTGTTGAAAGAAAAATTTCAACAGTGGACGCTCTCAAAGTGTATGTTAATAAGGTTGAAAGACAATTAGATAGAAATGTGAAAATCATAAGATCAGATAGAGGTGGTGAAAATTATGGAAATTGCAACGAATCAGAACAATGTCCAAGTCCATTTGAAAATTTTCTTGAGAATGATGAAGTTGGTGGGAGTGTGGAACGATAAAGTGTTCAAATTAATGAGGTAAGGGTAAATATTTCATTGTCCATGAATGTACCTACTTCCGCGTCAATCACAAGTATTGTTCCTCTTGTTGAAGAACACTTTAACAATGTTGAATAACATTTGAGTGAAAGACTTCAAGAAGAAACTAACTCAGAAGTATCTGATGCAAATGACCACAAAGAATGTCATAAAGAAAATTGTCCATAATGTGATTTATATGCAAGGGTCAGATTTTAACATTGGAATTAATAAAGATTTGGTTTCATTTTCATAAGACACAAATTATTGAGTCTGATAAATGAATTAATGTCATGGATGAAGAGTTAAAAGTCCATATAATGTAATATTGTCTGGGATCTCGTTCAACTACCAGAAAGTTCTAAAAGAATCGGGTGTAGATGAGTCTACAAGATCAAACACGATTCAAATGGTAATATTGCACGATATAAAGTCATACTTGTTTCCAAGGGATTCACTCATAAATAAGACATTGATCATAAACATACCTATTAAACGGTTTCAAAGAAAGACTCATTAAGAATTATTTTGGCTTTGGTAGCTCATTATGATTTAGAGTTACATCAAATTAATGTGAAAACTGTCTTGCTTAATGTAGACCTCGAGGAGAATGTCTATATGGATTCCCACAAATTAAAAAAATATGAAAGATGCATAAAGATTTCCCACCCTTTTTTCATCCGATTGGCAAGTTTTACTTTACTAAAACAAAATCCTATTTTCAAGCTACCCACTTCCCCATTGACAGCCCCAATTAAAATTTACCATATTAATTTTTATTCCTTTTTTATTTCCCTACGTTTTAGGTGTATAATTGTCTAATTTGAATTCCCCATTCCACACGTTTGCAGTTTAACAAAATTTGGATTCAAGACCCACACTTCCTAAGGTATGTGTTCAAAATTCATAAATTTGTGTTTTTGTTGATAAAACCTTAATTTTAAATTGTTGTATGTGTTTGTAAACTGAAATTAAAAGTCATTTTAACAATGAAGATTGATTCAATAAATTCAAATTAGAGTACAACCAACATGTTTTGTACAGTTTATAGTGTGTATCAGATTCATAATGCTTGTCAACGATTTTGAGTTATGTATCAATGAAAGCACTATGTCTGTAAAATTTTAGGATATTTCAGTAAATTTCTATTATCTGCTAGTAAAAGCATCATGTGTTTTTCAGTTTTAAATCTATAATATGTTTCCTTTTGTGTGTTGTATTTAGTAAAATCAAACTGTGTGGTACAGTTGTAGAATGTATCAGATACACAATGTTTATTTACAATTTTTATAGTTATCAGTTAATAAGATGTATCATATACATATTATAAATCAAGTTTCTTATAATTTTGAATATAATGTATCATATACATTCACTTAAAACTGAATATGAAGGTTTTTATATAATATTATAGTTGCCAGTTATAAAATGTATTATATACATCTGATAACTTCTACGTAATTTAGGAATATGATTATGATGTATCATATACATTCATATAATACAGGGCATGAATTATGTTATTTTATTTTTTGTATAAACAGGGCATGAATTATGTTATTAAAAAAATTTCAGCACATCCATTGAGGTTTGGAGCGACTTTCAATTTTGATTTTTGTGAATAAAATCAAATTATCAATAAAAGATGAAGGCGTTGCACTGTTTAAGAAAACAATTTTTGGACCATATTTGGAAATTCCAAAATGTAATTTCCAGGGTCAGATTACCAAGTGTTTGTTGTTGTTAAACTGCAAACGTGTGAAATGGGGAATTCAAATTAGACAATTATACATCTAAAACGTAGGGAAATAAAAAAGGAATAAAAATTAATATGGTAAATTTTAACTGGGGCTGTTAATGGGGAAGTGGGTAGCTTGAAAATAGGATTTTGTTTTAGTAAAGTAAAACTTGTCAATTGGGTGAAAAAATGGTGGGAAATCTTTATGTATCTTTCATATTTTTTTAGTTGGGGGAATAAGGGATTTTTGAAATTTTAGGGTTAAATGGTTATTAAGATAATTAAAGGAGTGTAGTTAAGTAATTTTTCCTACATTTTATGCATATCTTTGTATACATGCCACATTTCAAGTCTTTTCTCCTGTATTAACCCTGTATATCGACTTTGACTTGTATTTTTTCATCAAATCTGCATTCTTACATTTTTTCAAGACCTGTGTGTTGTATATTCCGACTGTATACCAGCGTATACAGCCGGTATCAACTTGTTTTTGACTTTCCGAGGGCTGGAAAATTAATTTCCAGCAATGTGTTGCTGCTTTTAACTACACCGGTTTCAAGGGGCTGGCTGACTGGGAGGAATAGTTTGAGCCTTTGTGGCTCAACAAGAAAATGCAAGGAGATGGAGTAAACTCCATAAGGACTAGGAAGGAGTTTTACATGCAATAAAAATGGAAAGGGATTAGCATATGGAATGATAACAAATAAGACATGACCTAAAACAAAACGCAGATCGATAAGAAAGTGAAACTGAGAAAATAAATGAATAACAAATCCAACTATTGCATCCAAAAGAAGTAAGTGACCCCCTTTTTTTAGAAGAAGAAGTAAAACTAAGTTGACTTAGTAGATGACATAAGTTCATAAATTGAAAGTGCTACACAATGCTTAATAGAAAAAACTATACACACACTTATGAGCATTGGAACGTTGAGAATCAAAATGCATAAGGGGAAATCATATTGCATATTCAACAAACAATACACCCCATACTATATTCGAAAATAACTCCACCAAGGAACCTCGTGAAGCTAATTCATTGCTAAAAGACAAGAGACTTATATTGAAAAAGCACAACAGCATCCAGCCGAAATCACAGTCACGACTAAACCCGACAAATGGGTCATCAAACGGTAGCGACCAGCTAAGCTGAAACACACATCATACTCAAGGTTCAAGTCAGAACAAAATGTAATTTGAATGTTTAAAATTCTGGACATCAGCTTACTACAGTTTTAATCTTCCTATTTAGATAAGACGCGATAAAGAAAACAAAATTCAACCTTTCCAGGCAACTACCAATATCAAACCTACAAACTAACACATAAGCGGGAAAAAAATAATTGAAATAAAGACATACAAATACTAAAATGACAACCACCAGTTCATGAAAAAGAAAAATGGAGCAGACCAATACTTCATTTAAACTCGAAAATGCAACCCGGACTTAGGCTAAGGCGTTAAGGAAACTATGTATCAATATAAACAATGCATGCCACTTTATGCTGAAAAAGTTTAGACAAGATAAGGCAGCCAGACATTCAACCCTTACCATTTACACTATTCGAAATATGCAAAGAACAAATCGTATACCAGAGTACGAAGGCCGAAATCACCTATAGGAGGTGATTTCGAACTTCATAACTGAATTTTTCAACTTTCCCAACCAACCAAACGAGACAGACAGTAAAGAGCAGAGAAGTCACTGCCAAACAGAAACAACAGACCTTCTACACAATAACAATCGAATCATAAACGAGTTACAACATCGATTTGCAGGCAATGACAAGTCAAAATGATCTCAGACAGTTTATAAACAGCTTCACACATTCATATTAAGCAACAACACGTTGACAATGAAATATACTTGAAGACAATGTAAAGGTTACCTTTTAAGGTGCGGCGAACAAGAAAGGCTGACGAGCTTGGAGAACGTGACTTTTCCACCAACTTCAAGGAATAACTTCAAAGAAACCGGCAAATTCCCAGCAAACCACGAACAAAGAAATCAAGTATATATTCAGAATGTATTTTCTTATATGAACGTTTTAGGTTAGCAACTTTCTTTCCTCTATAAAATCTTTTGCCGAAAACTTTTAAGCTTTCAAAAAAAATCCCCCTTCTTAACAGTGGAGAACAATAATATATAGAAGGTGAAATAGGATTCTCCCAAAAGAAAAAGGGGGGAAACGGATGAGAAGAGACCCATCTCAATTTTGAATTCTCAAAGCTTTCACCAATTTAGGATAGACAACTTTTTTTGAGAATTAACTCCATTCCGGAAGAGGAAAGAAGAACGGACGGGTTGGATGAATTCCATCGTCCTCGGGTGCGACGTGGCTTCATCTCCCAGCCACAAGGACGATTTTATGCAGGGTCGAGGGTGTCGTCCACGCCGCTGCTGCTGTTAACGTTTTTGGATTTCTCTTTGTTGAACAGAAAATGAGCCGGGTTGGAGGTATTTGGAGTGGGCTGATTTGGCTGGGAATTTAGAGAGTTTGGGATTGAATTTGGGTCTTAGGCGAAATAGTGGGTTGGGGATGTCGGGTTGAAAATTGAGGTGGGCTGATTTGGAGATAGAATTGGGTTTGCTACCCCCAAAGAAAAAGGGATAAATTTCTTAGTAAAAATTAGGCAAATGTCATACTTTAAATAATAAATTACATTCTATTCATATAATATCAATATTTATCAAAAATTCATTATTTTTAAGTGATGTTATATACGAGCGATATAAAAGTGATGGGATAGTCGTCGGTGAAAATATTTCGTTCATGAATCTTATTTCAATAATTGCAGCTGTGTTGGGTATTGACGAATCGAAAAAAATATATAAATATTAGATATGTTGTTGAAGGAAATTCGTCTCCATTGTGTATTCGAAATGATATGGGTGTAAAATTGTATGTAGAAATTAAGAAACATGAGGCTGGGTTCGGAACTTATTCTTTATGCATTGATACTTCAGATAAAGGTGTTGAAAAGATAATAAATTTTGATGCAACAACGGTGCCATCATGTGTGATGAGGGTGAAAAAAACGACGCAAAGGCTCTCAATATTGTTGAATCATCAATTGATTATGCATATTACATACTGAAAATGGATGTTGATAAGTATATAACAGACATAAATAATTCATTTGTGGAAGAGAATCAAATGTATAAGGATTAGTCAACTCTGAAGGTGGTAATGGAAAATTACAAAATAAAGAATAGTTTCAACTTTAATATGTTTTCAATTTATATGTTAATATTTTTAATAATATATAATTGGTTTTCAATATTATATGTTGTGTGTAGTTTTCTATGTGATATGATTTGGTCGTAATAAGTTTTGTCACATTTTGAATGTTTAAACCACTAAATGTAATAATTCTGATCAATTTACAGAGAATGGGTTTGAAGATGTGAAATAGTTGTTATAAAGTATCATTTTATAATGTGAAAATGAAATAAAGTATATATATATTTTTTTTGTTTATTAAAAAAGTCAACCTTATCAAATAATCAATAATTGTTTTTTTTATTGCAGCTACGTATTAGTTTGTCATTCAGATGATTGTTGTTGGAAATTGAAGGCATCTGTTAGAAAGAATTCAGAAACATTCATAGTGAGATACTTTAATAGTGAACATACCTGTCCATTAAGGGATAGGGTATTAAGCAAGGTACAATCCACAGTTGGATTTATTAGTGGTGTGACAGCGCCTAAATTAAAGAATCATAAAAGAAAACATACTCCGAGCAATATAATTGATGATATCAGGAAAATGTATGGCGCTGAGATTTCTTATCAACAAGCATGGCCCGCAAAAGAGCGTGCATTGGAACTTATAAGAGGTAAACCTGTTGATGGCTACAGAAACATGTCAAGATACATATATATGCTGGAAACTGTGTATCCAAATTCATATATAAGGATGCATAAGTCTAAATACAACGAATTTATGTATATTTTCATAACATTAAGGCCAATGATGAGAGGATTTGGGTTATCTAGGCCTGTTGTTGTTGTTGATGCTTCACATCTCAGTGGAGCTTATTGAGGTACATTTGTGTCTGTTAATACACTTGATAGAGCAGGTATGACATATTGTTTATGAATTTATTTTATTATTTTCTTAATAGTAAGTAGTTATTTAGTATATGTTGTTTTGTGTTTATATATTAAGGTTGCATGTTGCCTTTGGCATACAGAGTTGTTGACACAGAAAATGATTGTTCATGGACATGGTTCTTTCAACAATTTAAGAATGCATTTGGTGAGAGGAAAAAAATGTGTATTGTATCTGACAGAAATGAAAGCATAAAGAAAGGTGTGAGTATTGTTTATTCAACTGTTCCTCATTTTGCATGCATATGGCACATCTGGAAAAATGTGTGTTCAAACTTTAGGAGAAGCAGGACCTTTCTAAGTGATCTGCTTTATTCAATGGCTAAGGCTTATAGAAAGGATGATTTTGAAAAATTGATGGCTAAATTGAATAAAATTGATGGAAAAGTAAAAAAGTATCTTCAAGATGGTATGAAGATGGGCTAGGTCTCATTCAACAGTGAACCGTGGGAGAATGATGACTTCAAATATAGCTGAATGTATCAATGGTTGCCTTGTTGATGCACGACAACTACCTATTATAGATTTTTTGGAGGAAGTTAGAATTCTATTTGGTTCTTGAAATTGCAAAAATAGAGAAATAGCTTCTTATACAAAAGAAACATTGGGCAGAAGATTTGAAGAAATATTGATTTTAAACGCATCAAAAAGTGCAAAAATAAAGGTACATATTTGCTTTGTACTTATTATTTTATTGTTAAACAAAAAATGAAAAAAAAAACTTGTTGACTGTCTCTATTTTTTTTAAAATTGCAGGTTGTTGCATCTTCTGAGTTTATTTTAACAGTGTATGAAGGTGGAATTAGATACATTGTTTGTCTTGAGAGGAAAACTTGTTCATGTGGGAGATTTCAGCATGACGAGATACCTTGTCCACATGCAATAGCTGTCTTGAAGAAGAAGAATATAACAGATGTACACCTCTGTTGCTCTGATTATTATAAACACAATGCATTAACAAATACTTATGCAATTCCACTAGAACCAATGCCAGACAAAAGAGAATGGAAAGCTCCAGACTCTGTTTTTGAAGAAGTTGTCTTGCCACCTAAATACAAAAAGATGTCTGGGAAACCAAGAAAAAAGAAAAAGAAAAATGCAGATGAAAAGATAACAATAAAAACGAATTGTTGTGGACGTTGGGTCAAGAAGGTCATAATAAAAGAACATGTACCTTCTTTCCAAAAGATTCTTGATTTATATTTTTTTTAGTTTATTTGATGTGTAATAATGTTTTTGGATATTTTTAATTTGCTAATAATATGTGAACTTTTTTTATTGATGTGTTTAACACATGTGATTGATTTAAGCTATAAAATCTGATTTGATACTAAATATATTAAATTTGTATGCAGAACAGAAATATCAATTACATAAAATGGTAAACGTATAATGGATCTGATATTAACTAATATAATTAAATTTAAAAAGTTAACAAAAATATAAACTAAACTAAATGTATATATATAAGTATATTATTCATACTCTTGTACGATACTACTTATGCAGAACACAAATAATTTATATTATTTAATGATATCCTAATTTTATTTTTTGATACTAAAATAAGAATTTAGTATAAAATGTCAAATTCGACTGTATACAAGTATACCAAAAGACCCCCAGTTACTCGTATCAAAAGACCCCCAATTTTCTTTTTGGGCATTAAGTGATTAGTCTTCTCTTTGTCACAGTTTTGACAGGAAAAATAAGGGATCATCCAACAAATTTATTTGTTCGAAGTGGCTAGAGTTACTGAAACACAAAATGAACGATCAAGTATGTGTATATTTGTGTACATGTATTATTATGCAGAGTGAGAGAATTCTATTGTGTATGCATCTGTACATGTATTTGTATGACACACAATTACTTAGTTAAAATTTATTAATTATATTTTAATCAAGTAATTATGTGTCATAATTTAGTAAATAACTTAATAGTTAAAAAATTTAATATAGTATCATCATCATTTTGACAAGCTAAATTATTAAAACTGTAAAATGCTTAGTAATATTGAACCAAAAAAAATAAGTTGAAACACAAAATACTCCGTTCCAATAATAGTTCAAAAAGAATATAAGCATAATTAATCAACATCAACAAATGCATCTTATGCCTGTTTAGAAAACCCGCCCTTTGACTTTGTAGGATCATCGCTATGACTAACATATCCATCCTTATGTTTGTCCATGCCATACTTCCATAACAGTGTTCCGTATCTGTTGCGCAGATAGTCGCTCTGAAGACCAAAGGATGGAATTTTGATTTCGTTGCTCAAATATTCAGCATAAGCAGCTACGAACATTACATATATATATATATATTAAAAAGGATTTTAATGTAAATAAAATCTAAAAACTAAAAATTTTTCAAACAAAAAAATTGATTCACAAATACTTACAAGCTATCGCTTTGTTGTTGCATAATCTCTTGTGCATATTCAACTGTAAAAGAATGTTGAGGACCTAACAGTTCACATGTTTTCTTGTCTTTGTACGCCTACAAAGATAACCAATTAATTCTATCCGTTTTATCAAAAAAGTCGTTATCATGTAGATAGTTAGGAAGCATTACAGACAACTGATTAATCTCTTCAGGAGGTACTCTTTTCCTTGACCCACAAGATGAGTCATACACACGTATTAACCTTTTCTTCAAAACAACCACAGCCAACACTCAATGAAAATCTTTTCCACAATTAATAGGAATATAAACCTCAGCAACTACATGCCAAGGTAACGAAGCAGGTATCAAAAATCCATTAATAATGTCTTTTATAGACCTTTCATAACCAGCTATAGCAATACCACGACCAATATGTTGTTGTGTAGTCAGATATTCATCAACAGGTGCACAATAATACCTATTATATACAATGTTGATGTATGACATAAACAAGCAGTTGACCGTAGTGTATCTGTATTGATCTAAGCCTCTTAATTTTGACTTCTTCCGTAGATAGTAAAAAATCACATCTAGATGTTGTTATAAATATAAAACAACACAATATGAAATCTTCACTCTTTGAAAAATAAATAAAAGATTAAATGTAGGTATAAATAAATCTGTAAGGAGATCTCTAAATAGTATGAACAATCTATATATTGTATTATTTGAATAATTTAAATGTATAATGTACCTGATCAGTCCAACATTTGATTGGATGTGACATGTTATAAAATCAGTTCTTGTCAACAGGAAATGCGACAACAAAATCCATATAATCAAAGCCAAATTTAGAAGATTTGCCTCTATATTTATCATCATCATGTTTCCTGTAATAAATAATTTTAATTCAAAAATAAAGTACTTAAGAAAATGATTTTATAAAAAAACATTATTAATAAAAACTTACTTATTGACGTGTGATTTAAGGAGTCCCTTTTTAATCCAATCTAAAAATTCTTGTATTAAATCTGGCGATACAG